TTAGTGAAGTGTCTGAATTGGACATTTCTTCCTAAATGCAAATGTCAGAGTCTAGGAATGTCAGTCTGCAGCAGTGCTCTTTTCACTGAGCTTTACCAATATTTTGACAGGACTGGCCTAATATTATCTACCCCAGGTTCACTAGTATGTTTCTGACCAGCACTCATAAAGGGCTTGGGATTGCCCCTAGAGACCCGGATGCTAATAATGAATACTTGCTAGTGATTTTCAATGCACTCTGGTTATTATATTGAGTAGCAGAACATTTCCTATTCCCAGAAAGGTCATTTACAATAGTATAAGGCTGCTTCTTCCCACCTTCTATTTCAGGTTTTTCTGAAAGCTCAAATACTCATCCATATGCATTGGAAACACCATTCTGATCTGGCATTTGCATACAAATATCAAAGCAACTTCCGGAACTCGAGGCAGCTCTCCATCATGGGACACACACCTGCTTTCATTTTTCCAGTGCCTTCCCAGCATCGTCACAGTAAAACACATTTTCACACACCTCTCCAGATTTACTCACTATAGCTTCCCTCTTGGGGCTGTGTGGGATGGGGAGAGGGCAGGGACCTATACTTCCCCCACTTTTGTTGTTGCCGCCCATGAAGCTGCCGTGGTACTTCACATTTAGACAGTCACTCAGATCCTAAGCTGGGTGACTGTCTAAGCTCAACTCGTCTGAGGTTGGACTCTTATTTTTCCACACTGCTGAAAAATGGCCAATAATCATTATTTGAATTATTTCAATATTGAGTCATCATGATTACCACAACCAGGAAGGAGCTTTTGCTTCAGTTTCTTTATATCAAGCCAAAATGAGTTTCATTTCAATTTTTCACTCAATGCTTTAGGTTCTGCCCTGGGTTGACAAGGCAGACTCATCTTCTTAGTAATGTGAGTTAAGCGGAGTAAGCTGAGAGCAGGGCTGGCCAAAGGGAGGCCTCAGATGCATCCACATTCACAGCCCTGGAGAGTAGGCATCTAGGGGGTCAGGGGGACCATTTCCATTCAGCCTGGGAATTGTGCTGTTAATATCTTAGAATGAGGATGAAGAACACTGAGAAGCTGTTTTAAAAATTCCAGTAGGGCTCACATCTTGATTGCTATATTTTCTTTTTGAGCTTTAGACCCAGATATTCAATTGCTTGAGAATCTAATAAAAACTAGACATTCTACAATTAACTTTCAAAACTTGTTTACTTGAAGATCCCCTTCATGCATTTAATCCGATGACACAATTCTGGAAGTTGTCCTGGCTGCTATCTTCTCCATATAACCTAATCTACCACACCAAGTAGGTCTGCTGCAGTCCTTCTCTAGGATTATCTAAAATCCAGCCAATTCTCTCCACCTCTGCAGCTGCTACCGCCCTGATGCCAGCCACAACATCCTCCTTATCTTCAGGCTATCATCCCTATTCATTTCATACCTGGCCCTCTGGCTCTCCCCTAGGCAGCTTCTGAAAAAATAAACTGATCATGTTTCTCCTTTAATGGCTTTCGATCCATCTTTGGATAAAATCCAAGTTCCTTATGGTCATCCATAGCTGGTGGGCGACGCTCGAAAAAGTGCTGATTGGTTGGATCACCTCTGCCCTACAACCAGTAGTCCCTCTCCATAAGATGCCCCAAAGCTGCACCCAACCTAAGGAAAGGCTGCATGCTTGCTACGCAAAGATAGCTGAAGTAACAACAGCTATAGAATACTACACAGGTATTTATTGAGGGTTGACTTTGCATTAGGCACTGTGTAAGTTCTTCCTTTAGATAAGGAATTTTTCTGTGGTACAGATTACATTGCTCTTCCCATTTTACAACCAAGGAAACTGAGAACAGTTTTTTAATAATTATACTTATGGGATCATTCTGTCTATGTTCCCATTAGAGAGTAAAAGATTAATTTAGAAAACTCACAGACTGCTGTAATACAGAGAAGGCTGTAGTTGGTTCTAAATGAAACCAAAAAATCAACATAAAGCAATCCATATACAGACCAGAGAGGTCTGAGAGATGAACCCTTGGGTAAGAAGCTTTGATTCTGCGTCTAAAGGTGCCAACCAAAACGTGGTGTTGACTCTACTTTTGCACCATTCCTCACCCACAGGCCCATGCACATTCTCAGGTGGAAACCCCCGCATACACACGAAGATGAAACCATTGTGGTCTTGTCATACCAGGAGTTGACAGGAAAATAAGGCAGTACAGAAGTTGCTGGTGAATACACATGGGCTTCCAACCATCATGAGTTCAAAGATAAACTTTTGCCGTAAATGTGTGACCTTGGCAATTGAGTATCATCATGGAGTCTCAGGTGCATGAGCTTTGAAGTGGAAGCTACTTAGTAGGGCCTGCAGATATCTATATCTATATCTATATCTATATCTATATCTATATCTATATCTATATCTGCAGTCCTTGGAACACAAATGGTGCCAAAGATGCTAACTTCAAAAAAAGAGGCAACTTGGGAAAATGTAGGCAGAGCAGTAAATTTAATGCCCAGAATTTAGAAAATAGGAAGTGTTTTGATTTCTTTAGTAAGTGCACATCATGCACTTGGAAGTATGTGTGCAAAAGTGTCCTTTAGAATTTGCATTGCTCTTAGCTGGGTGAACTAGCCTGCAGCTACCACTTACAATGCAAATTGAGCTTAGAGTCCTTCACACTAACTACACTGCAAAACCCTTCCAGCTTTAAATAGAATACTGCAGTATGGAATGATCTGAGAAAAGGAAGACAAATGCAGAGATAAATGAGAAGACTTCAGAGAAAAATAAAATCCTGATGTCTGAGAAGTAGGAAGAAAATGCAGAAATACTAAATGAAACAGAAAAGCATAGAAGGACCTAGAGGCACACTTCACAGTGTGCAGGTTTAGGTTATGAAGGGGGAAGAGAACTTTTGGGGAGGTGAATTTTAACAGGCAGTGTTTGGATCTGGTGCTTTGTCAAAGTGGGAAGGAGTTGTCCCTAGGAAGGGCGGGGCTTTTCACTGGCTGGCCAGCACAAGGTTTGAATGTTCCCTGAAAGGAATAGTTTAAGCCACAGAGAGGTTCTTATTCTGCCTGGCTTCTGTCATTGACATAGTCTTAGTTCCACTCTTTTTTTTTTATTCCCATGCCTTTACTGAACTAGGGGAGTATCTGAGAGGTTGACTTTCACATATAAGCAAAATTTTAGCTCTTTGCAATAAACTCACTTTTGACTACATGAATTCAGATATTCCCTCTGGAATCCGAATTTCCAAACATGCTAAAAAATAAGGATAAATATAGTATCCAGGGCCTTGAAAGGAATAATAAATGTTATTTTAAACCAACTTCTTTATTCTATAAATGATGCTTTCCAACATTTTGGCCCCAACTTGACCATCTTCTCAGTTCAGTAAGCTTCCTTTACTTGTATGGTGTAATATAGAAGGAACTATGCAGGCAGCCCTATTTCTTTGTAATCACTGGCAAAAATATTCCGACCAAAGCCTGTGGACCCAAGGCCAACTTCTCTTTTGCTTGTTATGCTTAGGTACAGAGACATGTGCTAGCTGGTCACTGTATTGGGTGACAAAGCACAAAGGCCGAGGAGGAACATCTCACAATCACAAAGTCACCATGTAAGTAGAAAGAATCAGAAGTGTGGTGCTCATTATGAGGAGGAATGGGCTGTCTGTGGTCTCTGGGCAGTCTCCCAGCTCCTGCAGTCCAGAGCTTACAACTCCACTTAACCTAACACAGTGTGTATGCACTTGATGGGCTCCAGTAATGATGACAGATAGAAAATATATACTCAGAAGCACTGGGGTTCTCCTTGTCTAAAACTTCCAGGAATGTTGATGGAAGATGCCACCTTAACCCCACTCCCCAGATGATGTGTGTGTGCATGTGTGTATCTTTATTCCCTCCAGACTGTGAACTCTTTTTCCTTCTCCCATTGCACTTCTCTCAGTAGCCTTGTGGTTTGAATAAATACTACAGAAATTTTGGTATTCAAGAGCAACAATTTTAAATGAATATATTCTGCAACGTTTTTTTCCTAAGGCATTTTCACACATGGATTTTACTGTATGCCAAAGCAGCACTTTATACCACTGGCTAAAGAAAAAGGCCTATGGGTAGAAAATGAGGCAAACCCCCAAAAGTTTTGCCACTTAAATAAAATGTCTCCCTTCTCTAGTCACACACAAAAGGCAGAACGAGATCCACCTGCTGACTTTCCCTGTCTGCCTGCGCGGCGCTCCAGCTGATGTCAGAACAAGCCGGTTGAGAGATGACAATTTCACCTCTTGGCAAAGCTCAGCTCGCTGAACCCTCTTGCTTTCCACTGGCTGTTGATTCAGCAGAAACTACTGCTGCAGAATTCATAATGGTGATTTTTAAAGGCCCCACCGATCGCGCTGCTCGCCCCACGTGTCAGCCCCGTTCACTCGCCGCTAGAACACTATTTCCCCAGCCACCGTTTTTATTTCTTGCTCATCCACTTTGGAGGGGAGAGGGGCTCGCCCTGCTGCAAGGGTCCTTTTGGGGTTCTGATTGTCTGAGCAGGTAACCCGGCCAGCCAGAGAGATGAATGGGCAGGAAATGAAACCATGCCCTCCCTGCAGTCATGGAGAGACAGCATCTTTCCACTCAGGGAGGGCTTACTAAGGTCCTCCGGGGCCCTTCTCATCTCCCTCCAGGACCCTCGCAAGCATCTGGGCGTGAGGTCACCTGCTTTCGCGGGGTCATCTGCCCAGCTGGGAGCCGCGCCCTGAAAAGCCCGATCCCCAAGGGCCATTTTAAGTCCCGGGGGCGCGGGGTCCACCTGCTGCTGCGCGGAGCTTGCTGTCTGGAGCCCGGATGGATGCGGGCTTCCCGGGGCTGCCCGGCGAGCTGCCGAGCCCCCGCCCAGCCCCGGCCCCAGGCGTCTCGGCCGCAGCAGCGGCGCCCCGCGAGGCTTGGCGCCCCGCGACTCGCACCCGGCCCCAGCGGCGGAATGCGGCCGGCCGGGCTGGCGTTACCTTCGGTCGCATAGCTGTGGTCGCGCAGGAAACTGTTGTTGATTTTGCGGGTATCAATGTCCTCCTCCATTGACAGCAGGCTTACTTGCGTGGGAACCAGAAGCCGGCAGACAAGTATCCATGATCCCTCCCCGCAGCCAGTCTCACAGGAGAGGGGGGCAGGGGAGCCAGTGGGACTGCACCATGGTCCGAGCCTGAGGAGGAGACGGGGAGGCGGAGAGAAAATAAAAATAAAAACCCGGCAATGGAGCTGTCACCTCCTCCACTCGGGTTCTCCGAGGCTGCGGCGGCTCCTCCCGCGCGGTGCCAGTGCGCGCACTTCGGCTCCAATTCCCAGCGAGGATGCTGCGCTGCGTCCGCTGCCTCCGGCCACGCTGCGCCGCTCCCGAGGGTCCCCGCCCGCCCGCCCCACAGGCGCTGCCACGCCGGCCGGAGATGCCCAACAGGTTCCCCGCGTTGGCAGCGGCTCCGAAATGCAAAAATGATCCCTCCTCCCCTGGGAGAAGGGCAGCCGCGACAAAATGGTGCCTTTCCGGACCCAGGCTGCGGTGGCGAGATGGCAGGGGTAGGATTCAGGCTGGCGGGGCCAGGGGGAGGGTGCTGGTCCCACGGGAGGGCGGCTCCGGCGGGCGGGGGCCGAGGGAGCGGGAGGGAGCTGGGCAGGGCGCTGCGGCCGGCGCCAGCGCACTCACCCTCACACCCACACGCGCGCACACGCAGCAGCTGCTCCTGCTGCAGGAGGCTGGAGGCGGCTGGTGCATTAAAGGCGAGGCTCCTCCCAACCGCGTCAGCAGCCCCAGGACTCTTCCCCAGCAGCACTGGTGGCCCAGGCAGAGGCTGAGGCTGCTCTCTGCTGCAGTGGGCGCCCGCAGCCGCGAGCCGGCACCTGGACAGCTAGCAGCTAACTGTCAGGTTGGCTTGAAAAGCACAGGCGCTCTCTTCCAGCCTCCCGGCTCTCGCGTCAAGCAACCAAGTCGCGTGTCTACGCTCGCACCTCGAGCTCCTTCACTCGCTGCCTTTCTCGAAACACCTGCAGTTCATTGAGGACTGCAAGTAGAAGGAGGTTCCTTTAGATAGGCTAGCAGTCCTCATGGATGTCCTTTGCTTGCCCCAGTTTAATGCAGGTGGAACCTTGCCGGAGTTAAAGGGCGAGGCCTGGAGCTCACAGGAAGCCTCAGAAGGAGGGGAGGGAATGCAGGGAGAGCTGCTCCTAAAGGACCCTTAATTCTAGGAATAGAAGCAAGAGCAGGGGTTAGGAGTTCGCAACTGCAATCACGTATGACTCTTCCATCCCAAGAGTCCAAATATCTAAATGTAGGAAGTTGTTGTTCAGAAAAGCATCATTATCTACCGAGGCAAGCACTGGCAGAGACCTGAGTCATGAACCTAGCTGACCTGTTCCGTTTGAGGAAGCCCAGTCACCCTAGCCCTGTGCATTTTGTGGGCAAACTGCTGCGGCTTTTCTGCTGGGTTTTGCTTGGGCAGGAATGCCTTGCGTTTGCTTGCAACTGGGAAGGTATATTAAACATAAGGGAGCCAGTGCCCACAGAGAGCAACTGCTACCCTGAGGGAATTTCAAGGATCCAATTAATGCAAGAAGGAGGGTTGTCTTCCTACTTTGACTAAGAGAAAAATACAGAGTCCCCCCCATTTCTCTGGATTACAAATTCCACATTTGAAAGAAAATGAGATCATTATAGTTATGAAACCACCAAAATCATTTAATGGAGCAACCTGAATCACTAGAAAGCCAATTTGGAAAAGAAATTTCCCTGATTTCCTCTTGTAGAAGATACTCATTTCGATGGGTGTCACTGTAGGGAGAGACATCAGCAAATGTCTTGCTCAGTTAAGCTCCACAAGTTTAGCTAGATGAGCCCAGAGGGACCTGTGAGTTAATTATATACATACAATGCTTCAGCTAACACAATTTAGAAAGTATTTGAAGTTCAAAAAAAATGAGAAAACAAGTCCTTAGCTGAGGTTTGGGAATTGCCATTCCATTTTTAAGAATAGATGCTTCTAGCAGGTGGAAAATAACATTGCCCCCATATCCAGAAAGTCACTTCATATCCAAAGGGAAATAAATGTCTCTTTATATAATTTGGGGAGGGGGAAATTATATATATATATCTTCCAGAAAATTCCATTTTATTTGTATCCACTGGTTAAGTCCTATACGTTTATCTGAGTCTTTGTTCAAAATCTGCAAGAGAAAATATCTGCAGTAGATGAAAAGTGGTGCAAATTGATGTGATCCACTTCAGGACCAGGTGCATTGGCTCTTTCTTGTGCTGAGCTGTGTGCATCCCCAGGGCAACAGGATTCCATCACCTGTCGTTAACACAGTCCGGCTTCTCATGCAGATTGTCTCCTCAAGCAGAGGAGTAAAATGCTAAGTCCATCTCTTTGTTGTCAAGGTGATGAAAAAACATCTTGCATTCCACTGGAATGACCTTATGTTATGACAGGAGGCCTTGGCACAGGGAAATTCTCCCCTTGTCTTCCTGGAACATAGGCTCCATTAGAACAGAACTGTGTGATGAATCAGGTAGGCTCAGGGTCATTGGCGAGGCTGTGCTTGAGGGAATTTTCCATTGTGGCCAATGAGCGAAATGTTCCTTCCACAAACTGAGCCTCTGAGTTTGCTAAATTTTCCCTTGCATGTTTCCCATGAGATTCCTCCTCCTTTTATACAATAGTTCATAGACAAAAGTTCAGAGAAGGCAAAGTAGGCATATTTTCAATCGTTAAGTAGGTTTCAAGATTTGTATTTTGAGGGTATTCTTTTTTGTTGTTGATGTAAGCAGGGGAGAACACGCTGCTCCAAACTGAATCAAGACAAGAAGATGACATTGGCCATGTGCCTTAACGCAGGGGCATGCCACAGTGAAGGATGTAGGATTGGGGGGGAATGTACACGCCATGCTGTGGGGTAAGGGACTATGAAGATCGTTTTTCACAGGATATGCTGAACTCCTACTTCTCCAACATGGCAAGTTCTTCCAAAGGCTTTGGTGTCTTTGCCTTCTATTCCCTATGCCCCTTCCTCATGCCCTTGGTATCTGTCAAGGACTCAACTGAGATGTTCCCATCCCACTGCATGGTCCCTCCTTCTGGTATTTTCTGTCCTTGAAATTTTTTGGGGGGGTTCTTCATGGCCCACTTTGTTTTATAACATTTGGGAAGTTATTATTGTAATACATTTCCACTCCAATATTGAGTGCCTGTCATTTAGATGCTTAATTCCATTTACAGAGTGGAAATGAATATTCGCTGAATGAATGAGTAAATTACTGAATTTATTTAGTGATATTTAGGTTTTATACATCTAACTTCATTAGAATTTATGAAAAAAAATCTACTGTGAGCCAGAAACTTTTACCTTCTTATCCCTATCCCAACTGAAATAACTGTTTCTATTCATTCTTATATGATTACATACCTCCCATATTTTACCGAATACTTAATGTATGCCAACATTGTTCCAGGTGCTAGGAACACAGATAATAAAAAACAGATTCTTTTCATGCTTAGAATTAAAAAAACCCTCATCTGATTTTATTTTATTTTTTTCTCCATAATTTTATTGAGAAACAAATAGCAATGAGACAGTTTCAAATCAAATTGGTAGGACAGTTTCAATAATTAACACATTGCATACATTCTTCCTAGTGTTTAATTGCTCTACAAGATGCAGACATGATATCCTATTTACAAACACCATTAGAACAAATCCCTCTATTCATTAAGAAAATGTAACTATATATCTATCCTAACCACTGTGAATACACAGACACAAAATGGACATTCATCTGTATCCCCTTTTTTTGGTTAAGTTTTGTTATTTGAATATTATAGGTGTGTAAACTCAGCTAAATATTCTAAAAGAGTCAGGTAGCCCATAATAGTATTGGGTCTTCCGCTTGACTGGCAATGTCAGAAACTGTTGACCTGAGTCCTCTACAGCTCAACATAACAGCACCTCATCTGATTTTAATTCCATGAGAATTTATGGAGATACAATAAATATATTATAAATCAACAGGATCCTAACATAATGGTTAAATGCCAAGACTCTGGTATCTGGCAAAGGTGATTTTCTGCTGCTTATTTATATATCCTCGTGGAAATTACCAGCTTTTCCTAAGCTATGGATTTTCTTATCTATAAATTAAAAAGAAGAATAGTGTCTATTTTATAATATTGTGAGGATTAAATGAGATAATACAACTTAATTTCAGGTTTTACTTTAATCATCACCATAATCAGTATTTAGAAAATGTTGTTTTATCAGACTCTACCAGATCTGATTCAAGTCTATAATGAATGCTTAAATTAAAAAAAAATTATAGTAAAAGACACGTTGTTATTAATCTCCCTGAAAATTCCCACCTTACTTCAAACACTTCACTTTTATTGCTCTGTTGTCGTTGCCTTGATATCTTGAATTGATTTAAAATGTGTATCTTTCATAGTCATTTTTGATGTTGGGTAAGAGCCAGGAATTGCACAATGTGCCAGATCCAGTGAATAAGGTGGATGAGGACACCTCGTGTTTTTGAAGCTCCCCTTTCTGTTGATGTCACTCAACAACAACACTCACCGTATTTTTGATCACACTGCATAAAGACACTCATGAAAAAGAACTTCTACAACTGCTTCAGAAAGTGGCCAAAATGATGGGAGGGCGTGTTGTCTGAGGGGTACTGATGGCAATGTATCTTTTACTATTAAAAAAATTAAAATTTCGGTTCACCACATATTTTAATTGCTCAGTGTGTGTGAGAACAGACACAGCCCCGTAGATTGAGCATGAGCAGTGCATGATATGTGCAGTCAGTCTCTGCCGTCATGGAACTTATGGTCTAATTTACAGTTTATGTAAGAGGGCCATGGGCTACGAAGGGGGCAGCAGAGGGCATTGTGAAAGGCTGACCTAATTTAGGCTTGTGCTTTACAAGAAAGAGCCAATTACAAATACACAGCCTTCCTAAGATACCCAATTCAATATGACAGCATGTGGGCACATTCTTTTTTATCACCCTTGTCATAGTCACCTCCCTGGATATTCACAAATAGCCCCCTCCCCTGTTGGGCTAGTGTTTCCTACACTGGAGCCCTTTAGCTCATCCTGTCCAATTAGCACCTTAAGTATCTACAACCTTATTAAAACCCTTGACCTGAGCCACTC